ATAAGGCGGCAGGTAGACAGAAGCGTCTGAGGGCTTTGGCGCCCAAAGACAGACGGGTAAAAATCCGGATGGTCAAAGGTTCACTGCAGCCAGTGGGCCTCTACGGCCACCAGGCAACAGGAGTCACACCGCGTAGGTTGAAGTGGATCCGTCTCCTGTATGCTGAGGCTCTGGGTCGCATGAAAATAGGCTCCGTCATTTATGTGCTGGAAGCTAATGCCGGCCGAACGCGCGACCCAAAGGAAGTCATCATGGCACAGCACATCCAGGCGCACAGCCGCATGATGCTACAATGGCCGCGAGAAGCGGAGGACAGCCTCACGAAGGCTTGGCAATCGCTGCAGCAGAGTCTCAGTGAAACCCGTTGGCCTTGGCAAAAGGTGACTGGGCCTTTAGCGGCCATGGTGACTTACCTAAAAGAACTGGGCTGGGAAGCGCAAGGGCCCCGGCACTGGTCAATCAGCGTACGGACGTACGATGTGGCATCCGCCGAGGGGCTCCATGCAGTGGTGTGGCATCTCAAAAACGCGATACAGCAGCAGAGGTGGACAGCGGTTGCTGCCACGCCGGGAGCGGAGGATGCCGTCAACGGCATTGATTGGCAAGCCGCCAATAAGGCAGTCAAACACCTCGCTCCTCTGGAGAAGACGGCTGTGCATACTTTGTGGCAGGCAGCGCTCAAAGCAGGACCGGGGGCCTTCTGTCAAAGGTGCCAGACAGAGGCCTCACTCCAACATGTTCTGTATGATTGTGCTATGTGGGTTGGCCAGGCACTGCCTCCTCCGAGTATCCTGTCAATGCAAGCACAAGGCTGTCATACCAGCCTTTGGTTGCGCGGGCTTCCGGCCAAACGTGCCTTTTACGAAGTTGACTCGAGTGCGGAAATAAAAGGGGTTTGGCCAGTGCCAGATGTGACGGATGTCCGGTTTGCCACGGACGCCACAGGACCGAAGGACCCAAGAGACGGCCCGGTCATCTGGGGAGTAATTGCCTTTCGTGTCCTAGACGGGGACCAAGAAGGTGATTTGAACACAGGCCGAATCCAGGTGGTGGGGTCCATCACGGGAGCTGTGTCCCATGAACAGACAGTTTTCCGTGGCGAGGCCGCGGCGGTCTGCGAGACTGTACAGGCACACCCGGGCGAGGACGAGTTGGACATCACTTTGGACTGCGAAGGCGTCCTTCGAAGAATCCTCAGGCGAAACCCAGGACATAGTAACCGAGACTTGTTGGACCCGGTGCGGGCCGTCGCACACCGGTTGCGGTTAACATGGATCAACTCACACCTTGGTAGGAAGGCCTTCGGAGCAAAGTTTGGGCATGCCGAAGAATGGCGGCGACAGGCCAACTTTGCGGTTGATGAGCTGGTCAAAAAACGTGCCCTGCGCATCGCGGGCCCGACTGTACAAGCAAGTGTCCGGCTGTGGGACAAGCGGGTGCAAGAAGTGCTGCAGTTTCTGGGCCAAAGGGTGTCTTTTCTCCTCACCGCGGACGAGGCGGACAAGGCAGAGGTCCTGTTCCAACCCAAAGCTGATAGGCCTGGCCGTGGAGCACCCCACGCCACCTTGACCGGTCGAGTTGATGACACCAGGCTCAGCCGTAGGCAGCAGCTCGAGCTGCTCATCCAAGATAGTCTGCGGGGAGGACACTGCTGGCAGGAATCCCACCGTGGCAGCACAAACCTCACCATTTCCTGTCGTAAGTGTGGCTTGTATGTTCAGCAAAACGA